GAAAAAAACATAAACACATCCACAGCCAACAAAAATCACAAATTCATATCAGTAAAATACGCAACAAAGAATCACCGAGAACAATCTAATCTCTATACACACAACTCATCAACACATAACCCTCTACAAACATTATTATTAACCAACTAATTTTTCATAATTGCAATAAGATACTACATCTACGTGCACAACAAACCAAACCGCTATTGCTCTTTGCGTCCATGCATTGTGTATGATTCTATTACTCCATCTCTCGAAATGGAAAATCCTCATATCACTATCGAGCCACCAGGAAAGATGCTCGATTCCATGTCGGGCTTTTTCGAACACTGTACATCAATTATTAAACCAGCCACAAATACGACCCCGTCTCCACATAAAAAATGTACTGTAGCAAATTTATAAATTCACAGACTACACATTATACACATCATAATACTTTACTACTGAAGAAGCATCACAGAATTGTATTTGGCTTTAATAATTAACTATGGAATTAATAACCGGACCCATTACGCATTCACCTAATACCAACAGTACGCTGCGTCAGTACGGACAAATTTCTCTCAACACTAGTATACGCAGAATCCCCTGAAGTATTTTTTCAAACTCATAAATTGCCGTCTCCCTACCCCACCCCTGATATAGTTACTTGGCTATAGTGTAAGAATTTGTATTTCTAACAAATGCCCAGGTAATGTCACTGTTCAGAGACTGTACTTTGAGAACCTAATTTATGAGACACAATGGGCCATTCTAACTGTGTAGGATGAAGTAAACATACATAAAAACACCTGGCAAACTATAATGCTCTATATTACTAATCTGAAAATAGTTTTAGTCATATACCCTATTAATAGGAAACTTTTAGTATACACTGAAAATATGCATATTGATTTATAGATAATATTTGTCTTAATAAACTAATGTATGTTGAATATTTACCAGAACACCAAAAAATTAAAATGAATTAGACTTTCATAATTGGAATGGAAATTCTTAGACTTTCTTATTTAACCTTAATAAACATTCTTGTATTTTTGGCTGCCAACTCCCACAGAACACCAGAGTTATTTCCCAATTAAGAGACCACTGCCCTATAGAAATTGAAGACATAATTACATAAATGATCACGGTACAAAATAAAAGAATACACTTGAAATATTCCCATTAAAAAAAATTAATCTGACCCACATCTTTTAACAGAGGGGCTCTAAGGCCTACCCAGGAATTATTTTGTTTGCTGTCAGAGCCAAATTAGAATTCCTAGTTATTTTATCTTTCCCTTAAATGTTCATGCTTGTTAATATAATAATATATGTACGTAAACTTTTACTTTCAAAAAAAAGATTGGATTCCTGTGGTGGCCATTTTTTATTTTAGAAGTAGAGATTTTGCTTTTTAATCACAAAGGATATGGCCCCTTTCCCCACTGATGGGGAAAATAGTGTAAACCATTTTGCTTACATTGACAGTATTAATAGACTCCTATAATATTGAGAACTGGAAAGTTGTTTGAGATATATTTTTGTTGTTTCTGATTATCTTTTTGAGATTCTGAATTTATGTCATGTTAATATATTGTTTTTAAGTGAAAAAATATGATCTTAAATGAAAATTACTCATTTGCAACTTAATTTAAATTGTTTTTCAGCTCATAGAGGACCCGGATGTCAAGATCAAACTTAAAATCCAATCTTTAATATATCCTGCCCTTCAGACACTTGATATGGATTTACCATCATATAGAGAATATCCAAACTTTCCACTTCTACCCAGATCACTTATGGTCAGGTTCTGGAGTGAATACTTTACCACAGATAGATCACTTGAAAAAGCCATGCTCTTCAATCAACACATACCAGTGGAATCAAGCCATCTGTTCAAGTTTGTTAATTGGAGTTCCTTGCTCCCTGAGAAGTTCAGAAAAGGGCATGTTTATAATAATCCAACTCATGGTAGTTCCAAGCTAGCTAAAAAATATCCAGGGTTCCTAGATGTGAGGGCAGCCCCGCTGTTGGCTGATGACAACAAGTTGCGTGGTTTACCTGTGACCTATGTCATCACTTGTCAATATGACGTTTTAAGAGATGAGGGAATCATGTATGTCACCCGACTTCGGAATGCTGGAGTTCAAGTGACCCATAACCATGTTGAGGATGGATACCATGGAGCACTTTCCTATAATGGATTTAAAATTGAATATAGAATAGAAAATCAGTATATGAGTTGGCTACATGAAAATCTATAGTGAAAATCTAGGCAATGATTTATTAAAAATATATATGCCTCAGAACAGAAAAAAAATAATGAAAATCAAAGGGTGGGTGTTTACATTGATGTTTATTATCTGTGACCTTCCAAAGGTACCCAGCTATAGTGGCATTTTTTTGACATCTAACAAATTCTTGCCCATTTTATTCCTTATTCTAAGTGTTATTCACTCACTTCTATGAAAATACTTTCCTATTTTTTTCCTGATACTATCATTTACTTCTTATATATCTAATATACAGTCCCAGTTTTTTGATTGCTTAAGAGTATTACAGTTGAGAAGAAAGTTTTAAACAAACACATCTGGTTTGTGAAATGCCAGAGTTTTAGTCAGCATGGGTTTAGAGCATTGAAATATGGCCCTGTAGGAACGGATATGAATTACGTGCCAACTCTAAAAAATTTTGCCTATGACTGTAAAATTTACTTCTTAATACAAATATATTCCTGTGTTAGGATACCAAATTTAAAGGCAATTATCTCTTAGGCACTTTAGGGAAAGCCAGGTATAATCTTGTGACAAATTAGGGACATTGAGATAGGAAAAAAGCTAGCATAAGGCAATAGCCCCACATGTGACAGTGGCTGACAGAGGTGAGTGAAGCTTAGGATATGGAAGAAATAATGTAACCAAAGGGAAAAAATTAAATCTCTGAAAGTTCTTATGTCCTATATGGGTACACTGGAGGGAAAACCAAAATTAAACTGGTTTGTTCTTATACCACAGAGAAAAAGCCATAGTGATCATATCTTATGTAATATTTGATCATATTAGAGATTCACTGAGAAAGACAGTTTATGGGCAGTATACAGGCTCCTGACAGCCATCAGAAATCAATGCCTTTCTTCTCAGCTGTTGTCAGGCACACAGAGGTGTTGGGTGGAGAGTGACAGGGGAAATCATACACTTTTATATTGGTTGCGTTATCAAGATAGATAATCTCATTCTTGAAAGCCCTACTCTATACATTTCTATTTATATCTCATGTTATAGGACTATATTTCATATGGCCACTTATCTGTTAAAGTTGCCTGGAGAGCATATTTTTTAACCTGACCACATCATTCTGAAGAAACTAATATCATTTCAAGTAAAACCATGTGAGTAGTATATAGGCAACTGGAAGATAGGTCAAAAATTCTAAAGGAATTTGTGGTTAAAATTATGTGTGGATAAGAAGTAGGAATATCTGAAGTCATATAGTGCATGGGATGGATGTATAAATGAATCATGCCTATGGTTCCCAGTGGAATGTCACTGGGATATTTTGTGTACTCAGTTGAACAGGGCCTTTCTGTTCTTTTTCACTTGGATTTCTGTGTCCCACTCCTTTATCTACTTTAAACTACATGTCCATAAATCAAAATAATCTGTTAACTGCCTAGTGGGAACATTGTCTTAATTTAGAACTGGAAGGTACATTTAAATATAGACATGAGTTATGATACAAAATACCTTGTTAACTCTACACAATTAATAATGATGAAATAAACTGATATTAATTATATCATGTTTCCCAGGACTCTTCCCTGAAGAAAGATATAGTAAAATGGGGAAATAATAACAAACCAAGCAACAGAAATAAAAAATTCCTTACAGGTTCAAGTTATGGTCCAAAAGCCCATCCTGGTCCCACCTTCAGCTTTTACAAAGTAAAATAGAATAAATTATTATGTATGTCCCATAATTTATCAAGTGGCTTCTTGGATTCTAATCACCAGGACGTCCTCTTGCTAATGGCTCTTTATCCTTCGCTATATCAATTATCATTCCTAACTCTTATCTCCCAAACCCTAATCCCTCTACAGCATTCCCTATACCTTATTCTGTCCTTTCTATAGCCCCTCTCCAATTCATATTATTTCCACTGTGCTCTCTGAAATTCATGGTTCATTATGAGCAACATCCTCAAGCTTTTATCAGTGCCTTCATCAACTTTAATCTGAGATCTAGTACTTAATTTAAGACCATACTTCTTGTCTTTTATATCCCATATTATTTGTACTTTCCAAAACTTGAGATGAGATAAAAATCCAGGTACAGGAAGGTCAGAGAACACTAAACAGATTTGACCTAAAAAAGACTACACCCAAAACATATAACCATCAAACTCTTGAAGGTCAAGGACAGAGAGAGGATCCTAAAGGCAGCAAAAAAGAGAAGCCAATAATACATAAATAAGATCCAACTCATTTGGCAATAAACTTCTCACAGGAAACCATACAGAGCAAGATGTAGGGGACATTTTCAAAGTGCTGAGGGAGGGGGAACTGTCTTCCAAGAATATTATATCCAGCAAAACTATCCTTAAAATATGAAGAAGAAACAAAGTCTGTGCCAGAAAAACAAAAGCTGAGAGAATTCACCACCAGCATCTCACAAGAAAAGCTAAAGGGATTTCTTCAATCTGGAAGACAAAAACAGTAAAGTCCAAAAAACAAAAGAAAACAAACAAAACCAAAAAAATCTCTGAAAATAAAATACTCATGGGGAAAAATTAAGTACATGAACTAAGTCCAAATACTCTAATATTATAATCATGGTATGCAATCCGTTCACAATTCTAGTATGAAGCCCAAAAGACAAATCTATCAAAAACAATAATACCTACAGCAACTTACTAAGAAATAGGCAATATGAAAATATATAAATTGAGACAACATAAAGTCAAATGTGGGGGATGGAGTTAAAGTATAGAGCTATTTGCATTTTTTGTTTGTTTTTATTCTTTCCTTTGTGATCTAAGATAAATTGTCAACTTTTAAATAACTTGTCATATCTATAAGAAGTCTTTTGTGAGCTGCATGGTAATTATACTGCAAAAATCTATAATAGATACAATACAAATAAAAAGCAATGGTTTATAACATAAAACCAGAGGAAATCACTTAGTCACAGAGAAAAACAGTAAGAAAGGAAGAAAGACCATATCTTGGGCCACAAAACAAGTCTCAACAAATTCAAAAATTGTAACACTCAATTCTACGCAAGGTCATGGAAATTAAACAACCTGCTGCTGAAAAATTATTGGATTAATAATGAAATTAAGATGGAAATAAAAAGATTCCTTGAACTGAATAACAAAGAGGACACAAAACTATCAAAATATATGGGGTTGAGCAAAAGCATTCTTAAGAGTAAAACTCATAGCCTTAAATGCCAACATCTAAAAGTCAGAAAGATCACAAATTAACAACCTAATACCATATATCAATGAATTGGAAAAGGAAGAGAAAACAAAAATCAAAGCCAGCAAAAGAAAAGAAATAACAAAGATCGGAGAAGAACTAAATGAAATGGAAAAAACAAAATAATAAAATAGGTCAGTGAAACAAACAGTTGGTTCTTTGAAAAGGTAAATAAAATTGATAGATATTCTACTATATTAAACAGGAATAGAAGAGAAAGAACCAAAATAAGCTCAATCAGAAATGAAAAATGAGATATTATAATTGACAGCACAGAAATACAAAATATCGATCTGCATCGTCACTCCAGGCCAGACCACACTTCTGTTTGAGCTGCTCATCTAGATTCCAGCTCGGCTGCCATGCTTTGGAGACAGATGCAGGCAGACTCAGTCTAAACCTGTGCGGGGCAGTGGAGGAAGAAGCTGCTCAACCCCAGGTGCCACAGCTGCCTGAGGACTCTGGGTAAAAGGAAATCATCCTTTGCTTAAATTTCTGAGTCCTGGGGGGGAGGATCAAGATGGCAGACGAGAAACACTGCCAGACAGAGTGTCTCTGCAGAAAAGACAGATTCTAGCAGAAATTAGAAAAAAGAAGCAAGTAGATGAGCATATAGCGGACGAGGGCCGGAAGGAGGGGTACCTGAGACCACAGGAGACTCCACGGGAGGAGGTTGCGGAGGAGAACTGGAAGCTGAGACCGCCAGAGCAGCCAGGAGACCAGCAGGAAGGGTAGGTGGATCATGCACCTTTACCCTCCCCTGCATCTGGGACTGCTGGTGGGCGCTGAAGCAGGTGGAGAGACCTACGGACACAAGCCCAGAGATGGCCACCACCAACGAGTGGTAAGCCTGTAGCGGACGCAGCACCAGGCTCCCAAATCCCTCCTGGCACCTCCGTGTGCACAGACCTGAGCCATGTGGCAGGCGCCATATTGCCTCCTTCTCCCCTGCCCCGACCCTACCCCCAGCTGCCCAGAGAGAAAATACAGCCACCAGCTGGAGGCACCTCCAGGGAATGGGACCTTCCGTTTTGGGACCCTACAGCTGACTAAGGGGAACTCAGACTGTGGGCTCCCTACCCGCCAGCCCTCCCTGGTGCTACTGGCACAGAGATCCCAGGAGAACGGTGCAGACTCAGAGGCTGAGAGACATAGACCCAGCTTGGGATCCCTGTGGGCAAACTGGGACTGGCACTCCTCTCCCAGGTGGGGATATAGTTTGAACTCTGGGACCCAGAAGTCAGACCTGCAGTCCAGATCCCGTGTCATGAGGGCTCACATTGCCC